TAACTTGCAATCACCTTAACATAGTAGGGTGACATGATGCTTTCATAATGTCCATTTAGTGGTAGTTTCATGACTTTCGTGCTTTCCACTCAAACTGACTAACATTTTAATTTCTCAGAACATGAATGATCACACAGTTGAAGATTAAGACTCCATATGTAGTTTAATTCTGTAGCTGTCATTTTTTTGTTTGGTGTTTTAATTTGGAAGTATACAGAGCACTTAACCATTTAACTCCCATGATCTAATTGTAGGGAGTTAAATGGAAATAAAGATTCTGTACAGTGTTTGATATATATGTTGTTACTTTCATATTTTTGTTTGGTGCTTTGTGCAATAGAAAAGGTTGGTACATGGAGAAAATAATAATTAAAATGACTTCCTTGCCTTTATTGATTTCACCTTCGTATATGAATTTTATCTTTATTAGCAATTAATAGTTTATTGTGTTTTGCATTGTGTAGATAACTCTTGATTCAGGGAATATTTGGCAGAGATCAGTGCCTGCTCATCAAACTGTGGGATCTCAATGGGGTCCTCAGGCGTCAGGTATGATTGAAATTTGGTGCTGGACTAAAAATATGCAAATATATATACTTGATAGATTAACATTGTTTGTATACAGGGGCCACAATTAATTTCTTTACAATTTGGGAGAGGTACAATATGTATGTGCCTGTAATGCCAGGAGCTGTAACAAACAATGACATCAGTTTGTCTCCTGTAGTGCCAAGTCAAAGCCAAATTGGGCAAGGACAGTCACCATCCACATGTTTAGTATACAACCAAGGAGATAATCCAATTTCCCAAGAAACTCAAACCTCAGGGACAAGTCTTACAGAGTCAGGTAAACCAACATCATGATAAGGGTATTATGCAAAATGTATGTATATATGAAATAGATTAGTAGACAAATAAATAAGATGCATTATTATGTGTACTAAATATACCCTCATTTTCAAGATCAAACTTTGTGATGAACAAATTAGTATGGCAATTTAGTCATTGATGGATAAATTAGTAGACTGAAACATAGTATTTTTACATTTGATAACTTGCTAATAATGGTAACATTGTGTGTGCAAATTGTGAATTAGTTTTTTGAACCTGGGAATGTGGATGACCCTTTTCCAAAAATTATTAAAAACTAGTATAACTGCTCTTCATAGCAATAAGGACAAGTTCTGAAAGAACATCAAGAGCATTGACAGTTGTGTTTTAAACTAATACATTTCTTTATTTATTATCCATATAGAGATATTACACAATGATCCCTCCAAACAAACAGCTGCAACTGCAGATCCACCACCCATCTCACATGAGGTATTTTATCTTTGGCATTTGGCTATTTTTGGATGAGTTATGGTTCCACTTTCTTTTGTCAAAAACCTTCATTTTCATAGCAGTGACTTGGGGGCAATTTTGGATATCCTAAATTATCTTTTGTGGGCCCCTCTGCCTTCTTCAGTCATAAATTAAACTAGCTTAAGGACAACTAAATTTTATGGGGTGTGGCTCCCTCACTCTACTATAGATTACTGGTCAGTTCCTCTCATTGAAAGCCCATCTGTTTCTAAACATGCACTTCTCCCTAAAGAACATGTTTAGTTTCAAGCAGCCTGAGTAAGCTGCAGTCTTAGGTCTCAAGGGTAATTTGCTTATAACTTATTCTGTCCATCAAAAAGCTGCAGCCCCCTGATTTATAAATTCAGTAATTAAGGCTGCAAACTACACTACCTTTTTCTCAGGTTTTATACTTCAAGAGTTAAAAATGTGCAAGTTGAAATGGTTTTTCTTTATTGATTTCTGAATTTAATCTCTTCTCAATTGTGTAGTCAGACTCTGGATTGAGTTCAACCAGGAACAATGACGTGGGTGTGGCTATAGCTAGTAACTCTGCTGATCAGTCAGAAGGTAGGGTAATTGGTCATGCACAATGTCCTTTGACAAAGTGGGAGGGCTGGAAGGAAAATATATGGGTTAAGGTCATGACTTCAGGAAGGAAAGCAGTTAAGTACAACCATCTGACCCAGAGTGAAATATTTTTCTGCCCAGACAGACCAGTCAATAAGTGTTATATTGCAAATAAGGCTTGGCTTGTTTAAACCTTAACTAAGGATGAGAATACACATGAAGGAACATTGGATTACCAAAAAAAAGGTTAAAAATTTGTGAAAACGTTTACTATTCGTATGTGCATCAAAAAATGTGACCTGGTCATTTTCCCATTTCTATCATATTTTAAGTTTAAGTCCACAATAGGAATCCATGCTCTCAGAAATTTCAACAGAGTGGTCCAGGTGCCACACAGCTTCTTATGGACCAGCTCACTACAACCTTTCAGCTTAGTACACATCAGATTCCATCGTTGTTTCTAAATAACATTGCTCTCATTGGCCATTTTAGTCATATGATGAATTGTGTGATTTTGATAAAGAGCAAAATATAATTTAATGGGATTTTCAGGATGTACATACATATGTGCTTGATATATTTGCAATGAATTTATTACTTGCAAGTTTTAGAGTCAATGCATGTGTTTGTCCTGATCTTCATTTATTAAGTGATAACGTTTGATTGTTTGGTTATTTTGCTTCGTAAATATTACTGTAGCATTAATTATTTATTTTAAAAACGTATCAACACAGATAATTCTTTTCATCCCATAGATACTAGCACTCTTCCTGAGGTAAGTATCATCCACCTAAAGGTGACTTAACATATAAATCATGAAAGCTCCCTTTTGAATGACACCCTCAGCTTAGGGATTAAGGGAGACAAAATTAGGTACTGGTGAATGCGCATTTGGAGGGAAAGTATTAGACTTTCACATGGGGGTAGGTTGTAAGGGATAAGTTTATGTTTGACTTCTAAATGTCTACTCAGCAAACAAAATTGTACGAGAAAATGGGCCAAAACAATTTCCTACAACTGCATCCTTAGTCTGGTCTTCATTCTCAGGAACTTAAAGCCTGATCAATTCATGTTCATTTAGAGCATCTGGGTGGATAGAGGTTAACAGCATGGCAGTTTTCAGCAATTTACATTTTCATCAGAGCTTTCACAATCAATCTTTAAGACTTGCAGTAATTTCATATATATCCCAAGAATTAATGACCATGCAATTTCTTTAATTTTGTTTCCAAATTAAGTGAACTCATTTTTGAGAGTATTCAGATTTTTATTGAGATTTGTACCAAATTTGATCGTGTAAGAGAGATCGAGTTGGAGATTTGTTGCTTATACCCTCATGCCTCATAATGGCACAATTGATATATGGACCTGAAATGCCCTATCTTCTATGGGAACAAAAGGCAATTCCAACTCCAGGGTCATTCTTAATTTTTTTAGTGCGCATGTATGTTAGTACCGTAATACTTGGTACGGACAACTCATCTTATCTTATCAACTTATCTTCTTCTTAACTGATTATTTCATTAATGAATAATTCTTCAGCACAGATGTAGATAAACAGATAAAAGAAAGATAAAGTTCTTGGGCTTATAATGGGCAAGAACAATACAAGAATAAAAAAGCAAAATAAATAAGTCTGATCAAATC